ACCCACCCACTCACTCACTCACCCACCCACTCACTCACTCACCCACCCACTCACTCGCTCACCCACCCACTCACTCGCTCACCCACTCACTCGCTCACCCACCCACTCACTCGCTCACCCACCCACTCACTCGCTCACCCACCCACTCACTCGCTCACCTGCTTGATATCGCCGCGCAAGTGGTTGATTTGGACCTGAAACGGCAACGTGCCATCGGGTCAGAAGGGAGGCGGAGGGGAACCACATACCACACACAGGAGTGGGTGAACGAGGAGAGGTGAAACTGCCCGGGGATAAAGCACAGGTGAAGGGGCGCGCGCATACACACACACACACCTCGACCGATTTCAGCCGTTGCGAGTTTCACCGCGCCGCTGTCCGCGCCCGCTTGCGCTTCCTAAGCCCGTGCTACACATGCCATTAATGCAATGAGCGGGGATTGCAACGGCGTCTTTAACGGCTAAGAGTCCTAGTCCTTAGCACAGCTCTAGCCTTTAGCCCTAGTCCTTACCGCAGCTTCTTCTTCATGATTTGCAAGCAAGTGATAATACGCTACGTGCGGGGTAGCGCCCCTAACCCCCAGGCAGGACGCACAACCCACACGTGGGATGAGGTGAGGTGGCAGCATGACAGGTAGAAGCGTGGTAGGCGTTATGAATGAACCCATGTACGAGCGAGCGCGGCTACCCCCCCACAACAACAAGGCGCAGAGCTCACAAACGCGGTCAGCACCCGCAGATCCAGATCCAGATCCCAGGGGTGGAGCGCACCTCGATCCGGGGTTCCATCTCGCGCAGCTTGCCGACCAGGAGAGATGCATCGTCCTGGGGGGTTAAGAGTGTGTTTTGTCGGCACAGGAGCATGGGGGAACCGCGGACATGGGGGGGACACGTCGGTATGTGCCAAGGAGCCCTCCAGAAGAGAGTGAAGTGGCCCATGTGTTTGTGTGTACGTGTGTGTGTATGTGAGGGGGGTAAAACGAACCACTGGCGAGGGAGAACCGCTGTGTGAGGACGGGGGAAAAAGATGTGTCGGTCGACACTCAGCAGAGGACATGTACGACATGTACGATAATAGCACTACATTTGAAGGGGGCCCGGAGGCAGCGTTTTTTAAAGTAATAAATTCCGAAAAAGGAATAATCGGCGTTTTGGCCTTTGGAAAAAACGATTAAATTGAGGCCGACCCGTACATTTTCATTCCTCCAGCCAAGAACGTCCATTGCCGCCAGATTGCTCCGAAGTGTGCAGACCTTAGTATTTGCAACCATACAATAAATACGAGGGGCCGTAAGAAGGTCACGCCCGTGAGTCAACGCGGCATAAAGCAGCATGTATGACCGGTCCTCACATAGCCAAACACGCAAAAGGCAACGACTCGAACGTCGAACAAACACCAAAACAGCAAGATAAGCCTGAAATTTTTCCTGATAAAAGCGTTCGGGATGGCGGTGCTGTTGTCGGTAACGCATCGGCAATGGTACTGCTACCCGCGGCGACCGATGACACGGGCGCCATTACCCCTGGAATGGATCACCGGCCTCACCGCATTCAATGGCGCCCGTGATC